TAAGGTTATCAACCTTAACAACAAAGGTTGTTAAGGGAAGTTATCAACCATGAACAAAAGGTTAGTGTTTCAGGTGCTGGTTATTTGGGACATTTGGGACTTTTCTAGTTCCTTGTGTGCCTGTCACCCTCCACAGCTTCAAGTAACAATTGCTTATACTCTAACATTACCATTTTCATTCATTTTCTTGAAGAAGTAGAGTTTGAGCCTCCACTTAAAGAGGTAAGATGTGATTATTAACAGAACATAGTAAATTCCAGCATTCCTTTGGCTGCAACAACTTTATACTTTCTCAATATTTTTCTTATTGCACCGATTAAGCTAGGGATTTAGTAATTGGTAATCATGCCTAATTGTTTCTACAAAGGAAATTTAGAGTCAGCGAGTAAAATATGAAGCTCCAGGATGCTGATACCAACTGCATTTATATTTGCTAGGAAGGAAGCAGGGAGTAACATTACATTTAGAGGAAATGTAGAATGTAGAAGAATGCTGGAGTGAAAATTCAAGTACCTTTTTCCATGGCTGTAGTTAGACCAGAAAAAAAAAAAATGTATTTGTAGTTGACTCATTAAGCAAGACACACAAATAAATAACTTTTCCTCTAAGTTTCCTGCCAGCCACTAACAACTTCTGTCTTTCAAGATAATGAATTAGCAAGAAAACCATTTGAATACAAAGCACCAATTTGGAAAAAGAGCAACGTGCCGATTTCTTTCAAAGGCTGAAATGCTCCTACTGTTAAAGAGCATTAGAGACATGGTTTAGCAGGTATGGTTTTGAGGGGTTTGTGGTTGGACACGATGATCTTGAAGGCCATTTCTAACCATAATAATTCTGTGATTCTATTAGGCAACCAAGATGAGAATTCAGTGATTTCTCCTTGCTCAGTTGTTGCCCTTTGTCTTCAAAATACAGAACCCACATGTACAGCAGTGGCCCAAGACAGAGCATCTTCATCATCTACCAAGTAAAAATTGACAAAATGCGTATCTGGATGTTGCAGACTACCAACAAACAGCAACCCTACCAAGAGTCAGCAGAACTTTGCTCAAGACGGGACCCATCCTTGAAAAGCACTTATGCCTTAGCTGTAACGAATCCCTGCAGGTCCCATCCTTCCAAGCACCACAGAAGGTGCCGAGCACTTGCTCCCCAAGTGGAATTTCTCTCCATGCAGCCCCCTTGACAAGGTGGCGCTCACCAGGCAGGGCTGTTTTGGCCAACAGACAGCACCAACATAGAAGCAGGCGCCAACAATATGTGTTTTTATTTGGATTTCTAGCCATCAGAGGAGTGATGATCTGGAACAGACTTCCAGCAGTAAAGGAAGAAAAGAAGAATCTAAGTACAAGGCTTGATAAGCAGCACAGTGTGAGCTGATAGGGAGGCTCCCCTCCCGTCTTGCCTTGAGAGCAGGAACCACCACAACACTCATGGTCCCACTTGTAGGGCAATCCATGCAGAGCCTGAACCTTCAGCCTCTAAAGAGAAATTAAGGGATGAATAAAGTTCCCCAAAACCTGAGACAGTTTGACACGAACGGCAGAATGTATGGTTCATATCAGTGATTCTGCATATATCAAAGTAGCTATAGAAACGTTGTGGGCTGCTTAAATACGCATTGAAACCAATGGAAATTACACCAATAAAACAAAATTAGTTTTTATTGCAGCCAATTTACTTCCAGAAGGGGTGAGAGAAGAGCAAGATCTTGATCCTGCCCTCTCATTAGGCAGTATTGACAGGGATGTTACTGCACTCCCCACAAGCATTCAGCTGCCTCCCAGTTCACGTGTTCCAAAGACCCCTGACATAAGTTTCTACTTGCAGGAATGATCTAAGCTTAAGTGAGCTCATTCTGGCAGCCTGCATTACAGGGGCTCTCCTATCTTCAGTATGTGTCTGAAATCCTCCTGCAAGTCTGAGCTATGTGAGGAATGTTACAGCATTCAGATTCGCTGCTGCTGTCACTGCTGAGGCCTAACCCTGGATTCCTTCACCTCTTTTGCTGTAACACATTGTGAGTTTTCCTTGGATGGGGCCATTTAATGCAGCTTTTTACAGCATGGGAGCAAACATCTCTTCTTCCTCTCTTACAGGGGCCAAACATGCCCTTCTTACAGTTTCCAAGAGATCTGCAACAATTCCAGCATCTGCTCAGCAATAACAAGATCAGCAGTCATTCATTTTAAGCCATTATCTGGGGAAAAGCAAAGAAATGTACAGGTTTGTAAGAAAAAAAAGCTGGTTTGTAAGGTAGAGAGATTTGACAGTTAAAATGACCACAACAGAACATGATTTAACTAAGCAAGGAGATGGGACAACATTTGTAATAAAAGAGCTTATGAGCCACTTCCAATGGCATTCAGAGAATCACCCATCCCAGATGATTCTCACGCTGATGCCAAATCACAGATCACCCAACTTGCTTTATACATGTTTTCATGTACATCTATTTTATATTTTAAAAATGCTATCAGTTTTGGGCTACAGTTCTCTTATCAGAGATCTATTGACTTATGATTGCAGCACAAAAAAAGGGCCTACCTCCGTGAAGCCGGAGTCGTCTTGGAGTAGTTGAAAGTCTCCTGGCAGTCCTCCAAACCTGGTACTAACATTTCACCCTTCCCACACAGGCATTTTATGCATCTGAAAGCCAGCCAAGCTGTAATTGCTGAAGCTTTCAGCAGTTATGTCATCTAGCTACACCCAGACAAGAGAGGGCAGTTAGTTCCTGCTACAGAAGTCTGGGGTTTCATTTGTAGACTCCAAATTTTCAGTAATAGTGGGAATAAATTTCAAGCTGGCGTTTTTCTTATAGTAGATGATTTACTGCCTATCTTATGTTCTTGGTTTAGTAAGGAATTCTTTGGTTGGAAGATCATATGGGACGGCATCAGACAGATCTCAGACATTTAGGTGTTAGTTTGCTCGTATCTTTTCCATATTTCAAAATTAATCAGCAAAACAACGGATACATTCTGTATGCTCGGATAAATCCTGAATCAGAATTTCTATTGGCTTTTTTTCAGCAAGTAGAAAAGAACTTTCTAGTCTTATTGAAGTCTGCATTATACTAGATAAAAAAGGGAAAAAAAGAGGTAGAAAAGGTAAATTCATTATTCGTTTTACAGAATTCGTTACTGGTGTAAAAAATAGCTATTGCATCAACAGGAGTATTGTAATGGAAGAACTAGACCTATGGAACAGAAAAACAGTCTTATTTTCTGTTCATGTTAGTGATTTTCAAAGATCCTGAGGTACAAAACTCCACTTTCCTGCTAAACAATGTTATAGCGCAAGTATCTCAAAAGAATCGCTTGCCATCTCCACCAGCACAACCCGCTTGGAAGAACTTGGAATTCAAGAGCTCAGCTTCTCCTCAGCATTCCAGAAATGCCAGGAAGGTCAGATAACAAGCGTGGTGGTGGGAAATTCCTTGCCGAGATTAAGACAGTGACTCTGGCCCACAGCATTTACAATATGCCCCAGGATTCAGTGTGTGGAGCAGCCCACCTTCCACAAGACGGAGTTGTTAATACTAACGGAGTTTGCCCTGTCAAACTCTCAGCTCCGTGTCTGGCTTGGAGGGAATGAGCAGAGTTCAGGATTTGAGGCATCAGGCTGTTGAGTGTTCCCTGCACTCAGGCAGGCAGCTCCTCTTGGACAAGCTGATGCAGCAATAAGTAAATGCCCATGATTTCCTGGAGCAGGAGACCTTGGACCACCCCAATGTGCTCCAGTGGGTCTGGGGGTGCACTAGTAAGGGAACCCACCTGTATATGGGGGACTAGGCAGAGTCCTTTGGGTCAATGGTCTCTTCCTTGCCTCATCCTCTCCTCCTGACACCTTTCTTCCCTCTCTCCATCCAAAATGATAATGCAAAGCAGATACTCTTAAAAGTATCTATGAAAAGATGCTATTGTGTTATTAGTAAAATGCCAGGTTTGTTGTTGCAATTTCAAGATTAATTTTGGGACAAAATGTAGATGCGCGGAGTAAGAAAGCGACAGAGTAGGCCCAGCTGGATATACAAGAAGATACCAGAAGGTGTTCAATAAAATCAGCTATAATCTAGATACAGGGCACATATAATGCTCCAGTTGTGAAAACTGACAACTCTCTCCTGATAAAATGGGAGGAGGAAACAATAAATGTCAGTGGACAATGCAGTGCACACTAAGAAAGCATTATCAAAGAGAACAAAAAGCAACTCATAAGCGAGGAGATAAAGCTGACTCCTAAGGTGCCAGCACCACCGAGACATCAACTGAAGAATGGAAGCACTTGGGAGCTGAACACCATTATGAAACAAATTAATAAATAAATAATCAACAGTAAAGGCACAAGGGAAGGAGAAGAAATTATGAAACCAAAACACCATTTAAGAAGCATATGAGTTTATGTAGAATCCTGCCACACAGTATTTCGACAGCATTTCCAAGTGACTGCATGAAGAGAATGGAATCGATACAGTTATTTTTGCTTTTCAAACAGCATTGAATGTCAATTGAAATGCATTTTCCAAACAGTTTTATTGTAGGAATACCCATTGTGCACACTCTTAAAAGAATGAAGACAAAAGCATACTGATCTAGGTGGAAGATGTACCATCAGAGGTTTATGAGGACTAACATGTCCCTTTTCATAATGTCATATCCCGTCTAGCCAGGACACTAACAGGAGTTAAATATTTCCAAAACCCACCAACATGGGGAACTAAGAGGTAGAGGTTTAGGGGGGAAAAAAAAAAAACTCTTACATGATCTGGGGGGAGGGAGGAGAATCCAGAGTAACTTACTATTACAAATAAAAGCTCAAAAAATCTGGGAGACAGTTACACTAGAAGCAGTCTATGAACGACAGGAAGCAGACTAGGATGTGGCAGCACAGGCTAATGTTCTGGAGCAGAAAATCCCTCTGCGTTTCTAGAAGTGTGACTACAATACTGTAGTAAAAAGTGATGCCCATCGGGTAAAAAAATACAAGGGAGGGTAGATCAGAGAATTTCACAAGATTATATGAAATGCATAATTTAGGTGGGAAGATTTGCAAGCTGTGGAAGAACATTGAGAAATTAGCTGTTTTTTCCTTAGGTGGTTAGTAAGAGGAAGCTATTAGCTCAAGTACATTTAGTTACTGAGAAGTCCACATGTCAGGTTACACCACCAAGTTCTCCACAATATTTGCACGTTACTTAATGCAAATTGAATTCATTTAAGAGCAGACTTTAAAGTGTGCCCTAAATTGGAGCAAGACACTTCTAGCACAAGATTAAGTTTAGCCCTTGAGCAATTGCATGGAACTGTTACAAGTCAACGGTAAATGGTTTATAAAATGTAATTTTATTTGATGTTACTTTGCTGTTACAGAGGGCATAACATTTTCACAAGGCTCTTTTGGGACTACAATCAATGATTAGCAACACACAATAGTGGTCCAAACTCTCTAAATAACAATCACTGGACAAACTTGACACCTTCTCACATGTGCACAAACCTGCATGGAAAAGTACTAAATTTTATACTTGGACATGTGAACTTCAATTGGTTTTCCCATTCCAGTGTATTAAGGAATGACATGCACTTGAGTCTGCCAAAAAGCACTGCCTGTACCCCGGCAGTAACATGCTGCTTCTAATACAGAGTAAAGTGAATACCAGAACTACAAAGGCAGGAGTGTAAGTGAACTTTTATTGGGAAGGGATATCAACTGAAACAGCAGCAACTGAAGAGTAAGAGTAGCCCCTGTTCTCAAACACACAAGCTCCCGTATTCTGCTCTACAGGAAGCAACTCAATTTGAAAATTTTCAAACTAGAAATGCTAAACTTGTATCCGGCCCAATGCTTCCATATCCCTACTGAAAAGAATACACAGCAGCGTGTGAAAGTCAATCATGGAAAGGAAGCCCTGCAGAAGGAGGGAATGTGGAGAATTAAAAGCTATGTGGAACACTCTTTAGTTGCAATTAACTACATTTTCATATTTTTACTGTAATACAAAACACAGTCAACTGGCAGGAACTGGTTCAGATTTGTTTTTAAATACCAGGTACACTTTAGTCCGCTACATAAGTGTTTGGAAGTTACTTATGTTTATATGAAATGAAGCTATTAATACTTTTCTACAGCAGTAACCGCACACCAGGAAGGCCAGGACAAACACAAATCAAGGAATGGAGTTTTCCCAAAGCTGCAGTGTGAAAAGACTATAAATTGATTTCCATACACATGGATGGGTTTTCTTTGCTATAGGAAATCCAAGTGGAGCTATAAGGAATGGAGACGTGTAAAAAGGTTTCTTGAGAAGGAAAGGGAGAATGACACCCCGTGTGCAGTTTAGTTCTCTGCACCTTCCGCAGCATCACATTCTTCTCCTGCACTGTCTGATGTCCATAACTAGAAAGAAAAGAAGAACAGGGTCAACACTGACAAGTGCTTCTTTACTTCCTAAGAGGAAGTGATTGTAAAGATTGTAAAGCAGCAATAAAAACTACTGGTGCACTGGAGCTGTCTCACCCTGACCTCCAGAACTTGCCCTGGCCCTTGCAGTTGGAAATACTTCCTCATTGGGCACAGCAGGCAGGTTTTACACAAGTCCAGATTTCTGTGCTTAACAGTCAGCTATTTTATTGATAAACAATCATTCTACAAGCCTGATAGCTTCATGAATGACATGGATCTCAAAAGCAAAGATTTGGGTCCTAAAAGTAAATATTACCACTTTGGTTATTGAAGTTATAGTGCTAATAAAGGCATGCCTAAGGAGATACTGCAAAACTAAGAATACTGCTGTAATTAGGTGCAAGGAATATTCACATTTGTGATATTCCATGCAAACAGAATTAGTGGCAGTCCCCTTAGACCCTTCTTTCAAAACAGTTCATCCCTATGCTGCACACTCACATGGCAGCTCACTGCATCTAAGTGCAGCCATAACGCACTGCAACTCCGCGTGTCCGCGCGTGCGTTTGCCCTTCCACTCCCAGTGGAAAGCGAGGGGCACTCGACACGCAGAGATATGTTGTCTTTGATGCAGGGAACAACATTTTAGTTAGGAATCCTGATTATGGGCTATTATTTGCCAATTCCTTGCCTGACCTTGCATGTTAGATTAACTGAATGCACCTTCTCCAGCTTTACTTTAAGGCCAGCAAGCAAGACAGAATAGTAACTACCCATGTTGTTATTCTCAATAACGCAGCTTGAAGCTGCAGACCACATTCAAACTAAGCCATGAAAATATTAAATTGAAGTTTTTTTCACACAAGTCACAGCAGGGTAGGGAGCGCTAACCTGCACTACCTTGTGTGCTGGAGTGAAACAATGTGTTTCTTTTCATCACCACTTTGGTGGTTACAGACAGGCCGCTAAATAACGTATATAAAGAAAGCAACTTACTGTTAGGTTGTCTCTAAGCAACTGCATGATGAGAGTACTGTCTTTGTATGAGTCTTCGTTCAGTGTATCGAGTTCTGCGATAGCCTCATCAAATGCCTAGAATAATTAATCCACCTTTAGTCTATCAAGTCATCAGTAATCAGTTAACATTGGCTGTATAGGTAGCTTTAAGCAAAACAAGACAATGTAACAAGCAATATAACAAGTCAGTGACTAAACTGCTCTACTTGAAAGGGGATTGCTGTAAATTTAAGCCACACTGTAAATACAGCCAGTTTGTGACCCCTATTTACCCTAGGAACTTGGGAGACAAATACATTAAGTACAATATTCCTGTACAAACTCTGGGAAACAACCATTCAGATCAGCTTGTAAATAAAAACTCTTCTACTGTCCCTACAGGCATATAGAAGAAAACACAACTTACCGTCTTTGCCAGTGTGCAGGCAAGCTCCGGGTTGTTGAGAATCTCATAGTAAAATACAGAGAAGTTAAGAGCTAGACCCAAACGAATCGGATGCGTTGGCTGCATCTCCTTCTTGCTGATATCAAATGCCTCCTGATAAGCTCCCTGTGAGTTCTCTATTGTTTCTGTTAGGAACGAAAAGTGTTTCCATGTTAGGCAAGGTTATTTTACTTATGACTGAAATGTCATCCTAACAGGGGGCTCAAAAGACTCCTGTTGCTCAATATTTAAGCCTCCCCTCAGCAAAACACTGCACTTAAATGAGAATTATGATCCTAAATCCATTTTAAATAGGGCTGCTATAGTGGGGAGCAGCTGAGCTACTGCAAACAAAGGTATTGAGAAGACACAGCGATAAGGGCAGAAAAGTTAATAAATGCAAATACCAAGGTTGACTCTACAATGTTGGTTTAGCCTCTGAACACAGGCCCTTTGCTATAGCACAGTCTGTATTTGCAAGGGGCCACGGAAGTCCTGCTGCAGGCCCTGCAGAGGGGGGCCCTGTTGGGTCTGGCTCTCCCTTCCCCTCCTTGTGAAGGAGCCAGGCAGGGACATGCTGCTGGTGTAAAAACTACAGGTTTGCTTCCATGGAGCAGCAGGAAACCAAACAAGGGCCTGCACATATTATTTGGGACCAAAGGACATAAGCACAGAGGAAAAGCAGTTACCAGGGGTCTGCCAAAGCAGACCCTGAGAGCACTGAACACAGCTTGCTCCAGATTCCCCTCGCAAAGGGGCCCATGGGGTATGCTGAAGAACAGGGGACTGCAGGGCAAGGGAAGCTGTTTCCAAAGCTCAGAATTCCCTTCTTTTCTGAGGGAACACTAATACTGTAATAGCTCTGGAAGATGCCAGAAAAGCAGAAATTGGTAAACAAGTCCTTTATGCATCAGAGACTGCCAATGCAGCCTAAAGTCTTTCAATATTTACTGTGTAATGAGTGCTATGGGACTGTTCTTAACTTGTCAAAATAGGTACAAGACAAAGCTAGCAACTGGAAGAAGTATTTCCTTGAAGCAGAGAAAACATCCAAGTGCTTAAGTGTGGGAGATGAGAAAAACTTGCTTATCTCCATCTATGAAAACTGACTGATGCTCAGCTCTGGTATCAGAAATACACACGACAAAGGAGGCTTAGAAAACATACACAATGCTTCAGTGCTCAGAGAATTCCCAAAGAATTCAGGGGAGACTTGTTTATACATTTCTGTAGTTTTCTCATTATATTCTTGGCACAGATGTGACAATCTTGTGGAAGAGTTAACATATAAACAACAACAAAAAAATTTAATATATACACAGAAGGAGAGTGAAAGCTGCAATAATAACCCTGAGTGTAGGATTTCAATGCAGAGTGCCCTGTCTTTGGGCCCTTGTGTTCTTTTACATCCCCCCCCTTTCAAAAAAAACCCTACACACATTTATGTGCATTGCATCTATAGATATTATGGTAAGCCTTTGAAAATGTTAACACTGAAACTTTAAGGGCCCATAAAATGATCTGCCTCAGCACAGAGCCGTGTCTGTATGGTGACACACAAGTCTTCAATGGAAAGCACCAGAATCCCCTAACAAGCTTGGTTATCATCAGTCCTTGTAAAGCAATAAGCATGTGTACCACTTCAAGCACAGGCTTCCCAGCCAAGTTAAGCAGGCACTTCTGTGCTTGGCCAAGCCCCCAAAGCTGTAACTGTTACTTGAGATGAAAACCTAACTCGTAACGAGCCCAAGTTGTCCAATTGTTGCTGTCACCCAAACCAGGCCAGAGGTTAAGAATTTCTGAATGGGACTCATTTATCAAGTGCCATCACTCTATTTTCATCTCTATTTTCAGTTTTTTCTCTGCTTAAGTGACAAGCAGCACTCTCTTCCCACTTTGCAAATCAATCCGTTTGAGCAGCCAGCACTATCAAATGTCTGCCAGGCTCAAGCAAAGGGAGAGTCACTTCAGAGACCTTCCAGATCCCAACAGCAACACAGCATCACTACGAGAATAAAACGGAACTTGTTTAATAGAACGGTATCAATAACTTACATCACACCAAAACTTTCATGTCCCAACAGGGTCTGGGCACACTGCAAGACTGTTCCAGTGCCTGATTCAGTAGATCCTCTGAAGACAAAATGAGCTGCCTCCCTGGAGGAGCTTTCTGAACAACTCACGAGCACCTGGCACGTGTTCTAACTCTGAATGCCCAGGATCAAGTGACTACATCAACCACAAAGCTTTCCAAGCCTCATCTGCTGGGCCCAGAAGGGCAATCAGCATCAACAATTTTAGATTACAGCTCATTGACAGTGTAAGCAACTAATAATTTATTTATAATCTTTCTCCTCTGACTACAGTGAGGTCTGCTTCACAATTGAACGGTTCAAACTTCCTCCACGCACGAGGAACCTATCAACCTATACAAGTGCTGGAGATGTAATTCTGTAGTACAGTAAGTTTTAGCAAGGAAGAGAAAATCTAAGAGAATCCCAGTCCAAATTGCCCTGCACAAGCTGCTTTAAGTGCACTCAGAATTTATACTTTGTCTACAGGAACACTGGAGATCTCCAATCTAGAAACAATCTCTCCCACACAGTTATTTTCACGTCAACTCAGAGTAAGATACTGGCACTTCAGTTGGTACTTCATTTGCTGAATCCTCTCCCATGTCTCAAAGCTCAAATCTATCAACTATCCTAAACCTGAAGATCAAGGGACTTACGTTTTCTGTCATCACCACAGGCAACTTCAGCAAGGTATCGGAAATAGTCTCCCTTCATCTTCAGGTAGAAGACCTTGCTCTCTGGATTAGTTGCATTAGCTATTAAATATTTGTCCAACAGCTCCTGAAACATAAAAGAGAAGCCATCAGCTCCACATAAAACATTGCAAAATTCAATCTATTTTTTTTTTTTTTCCAGCCAGTTTTGGTGGACTCAGAGGCTTGCTACAAGTTCAGAAAAGGCACTTTTAAGGATATTTTAGATAGATGTCTACTCGTTTAACCCAAACCATGGGAAGGCATAATGCTAGAGACTATGTTAAGATGGGATCTCTAATCGATTCAATTGACCATGCGATCAGACCACAGGAAAGTGGCACAGAAAACTAGCACATAGTTTCAGGACTGAGTTTTGTTGTAAAGAAAGCACTTGCCATTTTAAAAACCGTTTAAAATAAAATAAGTAATTTAACTGGAAAAGTAATAGCAGAGCTATAATAATGAAAAAAAATTTTTTTTCTCACTTTGTGCACACACATATAAAAGGAAAAGTATCACTGGCATTCCTTAGACTTGTGAGAAAACCCCCACCGAACTTGCCAGAGAAAGGCAAGAATCCAGCCTTAGCCTCTTCTGCCTTCACCAGATCTTTGTATCAGATGATTTTTTACCCAACCAAAGCATATTTTTGCCCCCAGAATCCTCAGAGAATTGAAGAGAAAGGCAATTTCTAGCTGACCTCCCTATCCCTTATCCCATGTCATAGTGTTTTTTTCTTAACTCCTTAACTCCCTATCTCCCAAAGGAGAAATGTTCCCTGGAACTTAAATAAGATGCAAGTAGGCTGCAATTTGTTCAATACCCAGAGCAACTTTACACTATGAATTTAATACAGATCTGTATTCAGTTACTTGGAAAATAAACAGGTCCCCAAACCAGAGGAAAGTTTCCAACACTTGCAAACTGCAGCTCTTTCAGCAAAGCTTTAACTGAAGGAATATGCAGCCAAATTCACGAAGCAGCTACAAAGGAAACATTTAAGCTGAAGAAACTAAAAGCTTCTAGCATCCCCCCCCCCCCATTATTTTAATTAATGACTGCAGCATCATAATCAAACCAGGTGATTTCAGCTTATTCATTTATTTTTACACAAACAAACCTTCCACCTCCAGTGCCTACTGCCAGGTTGTTATTATCTCCTCTAAGAATCAACTGCAACAGAGAAATCAACCCAACTTAAAGATCTTTCTTGCTTCCAAGTGATTTTTTGAGGTGTTAGTCAGCATTTTGAACTGATGCTTGTAGTTGGGGTGCTTGCAGTATAGTGAAAAAAACTTTTTACTTCCATACAACATGCCTACTATAGAGGTGGTATAGCAGAGAGGATGACACACATTCCTTCAATGATTCCCCTCCAGACCAATGCCAGAACATTATGGAAGTGCTGCTATAGCAGCTCTTGCTGCAACCTTACGGAAACCAGAGAGGATAAAACGAAGCCAAATCCGAAACAACCTTTCACTGACCACAGCAGCAACAGACATTCTTAAGACTTGCTGTGATGCAAGGGAAATCCTGTCAAGAACTAGGCACTGGCTACCAAGGCCTAGGAATAAATGGTCAGCTTAGCACAGTGAAGTATGCAAGAGTTTGGGCAAACGTACCCAACAGCACCTGGCTGCTCTTACAAAAGCGGCAAAACCAAGACAGAGATGTTTTAAAACAGAAATGGAAGATGCAGTAGGCAGCTAGGGAATAAAAGCCCATACGAGCACTCAGTTTTGCATGAGTCACTCGCCCACTAGAGTTATTCCCCACCCTAAGGTTTGTGCAGGGAGAGAAGCTTCCCAAACACAAGCTTCTGCCCAAGCGTTTCCTTGAGGCTTCTCTCCACAAAGGCAAAGAGCAATGCAAGCCACCAAAACCCAAAACCACAGGAACAGCTTCAAAGTCTGAAGCATCTGCACAGTTACCTCAAGCTTAAGACAAAAATTTGCTTTCAAGAAAAATACTTCCCAGAATCAAGAGAGTTGAAGCTTAATACATTAATATTTAGCAAGGTTCCTGAAACCAGTCATGATGAGACTCACCTGGACAAGCTGAGCTGTGCAGGCAGCAGCTCCTCTCCGTTACATCTCCCCTGGGGCCTCTTAATCCTTCCTGCACTGCCCAGGGAGACAGTTGCACCTCTGAAAATCCCTGCTCTGAGTTTTACATATGTGCTTTTGTTTATTCAAGGACCATAAATGCATCACGATTTCTCACCAGGAATCACACTGAATAGTATATTTGGACTAGAGCTAACAAATAATCTATCCAGATATTACCCTTCAAATCTATAAGGTCATTCATCTCAAGGCATCATCATTCCTTGGAATGAATCTCACCCTCCTTCTAACAGAAGGAAAATATTGATGAGACAGTGGGAGCAAACAGATGCACAAGAAGTTAAATTCACTTCACACTTTTGTGTATCAACAGGAGCCAAGAAAACTCAAGATTTCCTACATCTGTTCTCTGGCTTTCCCTACACGGACTTGCCTATCTTTACATCAGACAGCAATCAGTCATGATTCCTCAGGTTAAATATCAATAAGCAAAATTAATACAGGCAGCGTGAGCAGTGAAGAAGGCTTCATCCACCTCAATTATTTCATGATAAAATTTGTTTCATGAGAGTAAGGAATTGCCATAGGTACAGTTCTCTGACAAGGAAGACTGTCAAACTATTCACATCAAGCAAACACTCATTGCTTCTTCAGTCAGAAAAAGTTACGTATCAAAATACAGTTGCCATCACCATCAAGAATTGCTGTTGCTCTTAGCACTTTCTAAAGGAAGTTCTTAAAAATTAGCAATTAGCTGCTCTACTGAAACAGCAATAAAAAACCATAAGAAATATCTGAGTGATTTGCCGCTGGTTTTTGTTCTGTTGCTGAGTGACTGTCAGAATGAAGAACAGAATTAGAAAAACAAGACTAAATTTTGTTCTCCAACTAGATCCCATGCTCTGATACAATTACTTTAAAAGATGCTTGCACTGTTATTTTTTTTCCCCAGTTTTGTTTTCAAGATATGTCAGCAATAAAAGGCTACTGGCCCTGGAAGAGACCTACAGCTGCCTGAAGGCACCATGGGGAGGAGGGCTCGGAGTCTGGCAGCAATCCACTTCTTCCCCCATTAAAACTGAGATTTATTCTTTTTCTTCACTGGCTGACTTACTCCTTCACATGCCAAGAGAAAATTACATTTCAAATGCACTTTTGGATCTTTTACAGTTCACTTTTCACTCTCTCCCACATGAGAAACTGCCCCTCCTTCATGTCTGTTTCCCTCTGCTTAGGTAGTAACAACAGTTAACACTCAATCGCAGTATCAAACATGGGAATTAAACTATTCCTGACTTGGGTCAAGTCGTCAGGTCTCACCACTTGCCCCTGTTATTTCAGCTTCACGACAAACATGCCCTGAAGGGGCAGAGCAGCCCTGTCTTTGCTTGAGATGTCCTATAGAAACAAGGAAGCTCCCTGGAGACACGCCTCTCCACAGGGATTTGCTGCATACCCAGCCTTTCTTTACACACTCAGGCATCGTTAGCTGCTTTGTTACAATTTCAGCTTCTAAAGGTGGCCATTTGAAAAGCAAACAACAGAAACACATCTTGCATTTATTTAAAAGATGAGCCTGATGAGAGGTCAAGTTTGACCGTAACATAAATTGCATGGACATTTAATGTAACAACTTGGCAGGTGCAAACAGCAGGAAAAAACACCACTAACTGGTGCAGCTCTCTCCTACCAAAGATGAAGCTACAAAGAATCTTGACACCAAAAATAAATACATTTTCTTGACTACTTATTGAACCGTGACTTACCTTCTGCACTTGCAGCATCCAGAACTGACCTTCACTAAGAAAACAAACCTATCAATATCATCTATATTTTCCAAAACCAGTAGCTAATAGCTATGGTTCACGCTTGAAAGTTCAACACCTGAGGATGAACATAAATCAGGTCACCTACACAGCTTATCTACTGACCAAACAGTTTAAGGTCAAGTTTTAAGAGCAGGTTAAGATAATCATGTGCCTAGGTGCTGCCAGAAAGAGTTCTCAATGTGATAAAGAGAGTCCCCAATTTAATCCTATTTACAACACCTGCACCTGCAACAGTATTTAATTTCATGCTAATCAAAGACTGATCTAAATTGTTATTTGTAATTCTCCCCAGCTGACACCCTGTTTTTACACTCCTGTATTACAGCCTTGGTTTTAATTCTGATGGAATAAAAGTCATAGCCACTATGTAACCATCAATGCACACACACACAAAAAATTAAACCGTTTCTATAAATAAAGGCTGCTTATGTTAGTGCTGTATGATCTTTGGCAAGAAGGAGCATGCTGGTGTTCAGAATCCCCAGTATAGAGGTACTGTGAATAAAGTTGAGATAAATTAAAACTTCCTTTTTCAAAGCAGACAGCCTTAGCAATATTGTGAGTATGAAGTCCCTGTGTCCTGTTTCAATCTAAGCAGTTCAAATTGCCTCATTTGCCCTCCCCTCTCCTCAGTCATCTGGGCATTTGATTTAACACGCTGGTCTTTTGGAGACTGGGAAGCAAGTTGTATTTTCAAGTTCTAGAAATTTTAGAAACTTTTAGAAACTTTAGAAGATAAAATCCTGCCAGGCTTTCACTAACATGACAGATTAAAAGCACCTTCAGGAAAGAAAACCAAATAGAAATACACTGCTTGAGAAATGCTCCTCTCGAGAAGCAACTAATCATATCAGGCCATAAACTACTCAATTTGCTATTTTTCTCTTCCAGTCATGATGGAAAGAGTTCAAATAGCGTATTAAAAGACCAACTTGGACTTGAAATCAAACGCTCAGAAGGTCTGGTTTGCTTAAACACTAGTTATACCTGCAACAAAAGTGTGCCACTCCAAGCAGTGATTTTCGTAAGTCAGGGTAATCCACTGTTTTTGTCTTTCCTAAGTTCTCCTGCCCACCTTGACATTGAATAACCTGCATTTTGAACTTGAGCTTTTTTCCTTTTTAAAAAGACTTATTGAGCCTAGCCCCCAGAACAGTTGATAAGTGGGTGACAGCAACTGGTTACTT